TGGTATTCCAAGGACGCTTTGATGCTCGCAACCAAGTTGTTGAGAGGAAGGTCTGTTGATTTACCAGTCTGATAGGCATATCGATGCACACTTAGAGGCTGCCTCTTTAGAGCGCCCCTCCTTATGTACTCATCAATTACCTTTTCAAGTCCTTTCAGCAGAAATGAGGTCAGACTAATTGGTCTGAGTGACTTCGCCACTGGATCTGTCCGTCCAGGTTTGGGCATATAGATTACCCTTGTCACCTTCCAGCCATATGGTATGTGATACACATGTAGTAGAGCTGGATACATGTCATCCTCTCCTGGCGATTTGTAGGGCTTAAATGATTTTATCGCTCCTTTAACCACATCAGGAGTTACTATGGTTCTGTTACCTACCACTCTCCCCTGTGGGTCGTTCATCCGTCCGATTCTCCGGGAATTGTCCAGCTAAGTCATCAGATGTTATACTTCCTGGAAAGTGGTTTTACGCAAGAATCTCCAAGGTTTTTCCCCTGAACTGTGTGACCGTGCCGTCTGGTCGCTTGATCGACCCCAGCTCCTGTCCACAATCTTTGGAGAGGGTCTTGTAGACCCTAGCTCTGCTCGGTGCATCTGATATGCTCTCGCAAAACCTTTTCCATGACTCAGTTTTGGCTTTGCGGACCGCTTATTATAGTCGGTTAAGGTCCTCCTATACTGGTCCCACTCACGAGATAGTTTGGCCCAGTTGAAGACTTTCTGAACCTCTATCCTTTTCTTATTAAGACTGTTATTCCACCAAGGCGTACTCTGGTTGTCTTTTTTTTCCTTGAGTAGACAGTTTTCCTAGTATGGCTAAACGTATGGCCTGCGTTACCCGATCTACCATGAAGTCCAGTTGATCTTTATTTGTTATGGTCCTACTACAGGAATGCAGGTTTTCCTTCAGGGTCATTTCATATCCATTCCAGTCCGTATTCCTCACATTCCTGTAGTTTACCATGGGTCTTACACCCGTTGCAATCTCAAAGCGAATATGTCGGTGATCAGAACACGAGGGTTCCGACGTTACCAGCCAATCTTTGATCTTGCTGGTTAAATAATTACTGCTAATTGTCAAGTCAAGTACCTCTTTCCTACTTCTAGTAATAAAGGTAGGCTCAGCGCCTTTATTGTTAACCACTAGTCCTTCCCCGATTAAATAGTTAAACAGAGACTCATCTCGTTGATTAACATCTGTGCTCGCCCAGGCCCTGTGATGCGCGTTGGAGTCGCATCCTAGTACTAGGTGCACGTTCTTCCTCCTGCAATGGTCGATATTAAGTTCCGCTCCAGTTGGGGAGGCGGTGATCCTTCTGCATTCCCAGGAAAATATTCAGATGTAATTACAACCTCTACTTGCCCTGGTAGGGTCAGGTGGATAGATACCATGTCCCTATCCCAGAAATGTGTGAGAACAAAGTATTTTAGAGTTTTCCTGATAAGGATGTATGTCCTCGGATTTGTTGCCGATGGTGATGCTATTACCTTGCCAGATGTTCCTCAAAGTCCGGATACTCGACCTATGTTCAAGTTCCATAGTTCCTGGATAAGGACGATAACAATACCGTCCCTTTGGAATGTGGCGCCAAGGACGTTCGTGGCGGCCTTGGCATGTTGCAGATTAATCTTCAGCAGGCTCAGCGATTGAGCCATTATGCTGCAGAGCTGCAACCTCCTGGTGGATCTCTGTCCCCACCAGGATCCCATGCCAGTTTAGGTGGGCCTTTGGAGCTTTTGTGTGCCGCAGGACCTCCCTTCCCCTTCTTGGGTTTTTTCTGCCTTTTTTGGCAGCGTCTTACCGGGACTAGTCTTCCCTTTGGTAGAGTCGCTACCAGTTGCAGCAGGAGGAGTGGCTGTCTCTCCTGCTGTCACAGTCGACGCATCACCGGCGGTGATGGATATCGGGGTATTAGTCCCTCATGTCTCGGATGCTGTTCCCTGAACCCTGGGCCTCAGACTAAATCGTGACTGGCCGAAGCCAAAGTACAGTTTGAAGTCCAGGCGCCTCAGCGCCTCAGCGCCACCAGCGACGCATCGCCTATGCCGAAGGTCCAAGTTTGTCCCTTGCCTGAATCGTCCTGATGTAGGACAAACCCAATCACGAGTATCCAGAGTCCGGTTCGTATTCCCCAGTATACGCAGCAGATCCTCCATGGAGAGTCGCTCCCCTGGAACTTCGTCCGGAAGATATGGTACGCATATATGGGGTTTAGTAAGATTGCCCCTCTTGACAAACTTGACCTTGGCGCCTTCCCAAGGCTGGAGGTGCTTTGCCGCACATTTATGCCAGTTCAGGCTTTCTTTGTCCGCACAGGTGATTTGTGGCCATCCAGGTCTGTGGGTACAGTCCTGGAACCTCACCTGTGTATTCCTGTCTCTAATGCGAGACACAGCTACCAATATCGCCCTTTGAAGAGCGAACAATTGCTCCTTGGTGAAGACGACCGCGGGATGCTCTGGGTGTATTCCCCTTAGAGCTCCCCGCAAGCGCTCTACGTCGGAGCCTGCCCACCACTTCTCGACTTTTTCGGTGCCTGTACGGGAGTGCTTGGTGCAGCCAGCAGTGGGGACGACTTCATGCCCTCCCGGTTCCTGCCTGCTGCAGCTAACTGTGTTGGACGATGGAGGTTTTTCCCCCTTGTCCTTCGCTGATTCCCACAGGATGCATGCCGCTTTTGACAAGCGCTGCCAGGCATCTTCTCTTTGACCCAGGAATCCTTTCCAAGGCTTTTTTAGCATTAGAGTCTGCCACCTCTGGCCTCGGAGATGGGTTCAGTATTTTTTTCTCCTGTTCAGCGGTGACAGATAGTGGAATCATTTCCCGACTCCTATTAGCAGAGGTCAGCTAGCCCTAAGGAGCCTCTAACATTATCCTCTGATGCCCCAGAGAGAGATCCTTCTCCCTGCTATGATGGAGATGACGGCCAAAGATGGGGTTGAGGTTTTCCCGTTGGTCCATGTTGTTCCCACGAGTATTGGGGATATGAACCGTCACTGTACGCAGAGCCCTATACATAGAGAAGGCCAAACTTAATCCGGAATTTGGCCCGGTGTTCCAGAGGGTCCGTTTACGATGCCGATAGCCCCCGGCACCATTCATCCCTCAGCACGAAGCCTCACACCTTGGATTCGGCGTTTCACCAGAGCCCGATTAGCCGTCGCTCTGCTCCCCGAAGGAAAATTTACTCTAGTGGGGGGCAGAGGATCCGTTGGCCATTCCACACGGTAGTGTATTTCACGTACTACATTACGAATTCGGTTTTTAATATCTTCTCTGATTGTAGGTTGAGTCTGAAACACGATGTCTTTTAACCGTCCCCATAAATAAAAATCCAGACAAGCTAAGTCTGGTGATTGCGAGGGCTATGGAAACAGACTTCCTCTTCCAATCCACCGCTGTTGAAGTACTGCATTATGCTGTCTCACAATAATAGCAAAATGTGCTGAGCAACCATCCAACTGCAAAAACAAGTTTTGCCGAATTTCCAGTGGCACATCTTCCAACGGCAACGGTGATTGATTGTCCAAAAAGTCAAGAAAGACATTTAGGGATTGCTCAAAACGATATTGCTGTTCTAAGATGAGGATTTACTTCAATGTATCACAGTACGCGGTTAATACTTTCTCGTGTCCTTCCAATTCTTTGCCGCCACTAATCGGGAAAAAACTCTCACATCGCAAAGACGCTGATTTGGATATGGAGTCGCGTAAACTCCATTTGCTATTGCGGCATTCACGATATTCAAAATAAACTGCAAGCATATCAACAACTTCATCGTTCGTAAAATGCATTTGGTAAGCACAAAAATTGCTCAAAGTTACAATTTGAGGATTATTTATGTTTTGATTAGATATTTGTTTTGCTGTATTCCATGCCCTACTTCGATTAATTGTCTTTTTCGTATATACCCATTTAAAAAAATATCCCTTTTGCTATTTTAACATTACTTACCTTTTAGCGAGATTTTATAATATTTTCAACAAGGTGATTTTATTTTGATAAATAAACGAGAATTCCAGAAAAAATAGTTTAGAAAAATAAAAAATTGAGGGATTTCTCTATAAAATTTCCTTTGCCCTAAATTTTAGGTTAGGAACAAGATATCAAGATGCGGTTTTTTGCGATCTTGTTTAGACATCATTTAGCTACTTTTGCATAAAAAAAATCATATCAACGCATTTAATTTTTTTGAGATAATTAACCTGTCGGAATGTTGAAAAAAGCCGTCTAGCGGCCACATGAAGGAACTAGCAAAACTTCAAAGACTATAAGATTTGTAGCCCAAGAGTTGCTCTTTTCAACTAGCCCAAGTTTGTTAAAATCGGCTCAGCCGTTTTGAAGATACAGGGCGTTCTTTACTCAAACCTTTGAACAGCCCCCACTTTATTTTTAGACGTAAGTACAGCAAAAACTGTCAAGCCAACAACGTTCACATTGTCCTCGACTTTGAACATCAGGTATTTTTTTTTAGGTTAATATAGCGGTATTCACAGAAACATGACTTTTTTAAAATCAAGATTGCAGTTACGCCACCTAGCGGCCATTTCAGAAACTTGAAAATATTTTCCAGCTTTTTTTTGGCTGTTTCCCTAAGAACTTTTTTTGCCGCAAGCTTCTACGATGGATAGGTTGTCAGATACAGAACCTCGCATTCATAGATGGCCACCCTGTACAAAAATTTAATATGGCGTCTATACGAAAAAATAAAGTTGTTATTCGAGGACAAGTGACGGTACTGAATTTCTAATTTCGATAATAATAATAAGCCTTTTTTGCCCAACAGTTTAACACCATTTACTGAGCAACTGACTACAAAAAAGAAATAACGATGGGGTATTTTGTAAAAAAGCAATCACAAATTTTGTGTTTGGCATAAAAAAGAAGCATTGAATCTAGATGCTGGTCGTGGTATTGTGAGGCAGTCTATTAGATTAAGCAACAGTTTATACACTATATATAATTGCTGATTGCTTACGCTTATATATTCTGCACCTCTAACCTCTAGTATGATATATGCCATCAATCTTGAAATACACGAATTTTAAAAGTTTGTTTCGAAGTTTATAACAAACACCACCAATATATTGCATGTAAATCGAACTCTATATCAGAGTTAAGACCTAACCAAGCCAAAATATAAAGTCTGTAAAGTACAACAATTTTTACTATTCGTGATAACAAAGCCGTAGGTTTTGAAAACGCAGTTTGATTGATATGTTCATTGAAAGTTAGTTGTTGATCGAAATAGATGCCTAGATTTTTCACAGTTCCGATACGCTCGAGAACACATTTATTCATTGTGTAATTATATAACAAAGCCTTGATTTTCCTAAAAAAAGTTACTACTCTGCATTTACTTATATTAAGACGAAGGTGATTCTTGGCGCCCTCGTTTTGTAGTAAATTTATCTGACCTTGAAGTCTTCCAGGCAGGAGACACACAGGTCATTAACGAATAATATGAACAACAATGGTCCTAAATTCGAATAATGTGGCAGACCACTGTCTGAGACATATGTAAATACATGATATGTAGCCATTATAAAAAAACACTGTATCCTTTCAAACATATATGATGTTAAAAGCGCTACGTAATTGTTGTTGAATACCCAGGTACTCAAGTTTTTGATTCGAAATACTGTGATTGGCCTTACCACCTTGTAGAGGAGAAAAAGTGGGAGACTTCTTATTTTGGAATCCCATCTCGAATAAAGTAAGTAAAATACGAAAACGATTTTGGGAAAATTCGGTTGCTTTCGTCTATTTCCAGAAATACTATAAATTGCGAAACCCTGAAAAAAGTGTCATTTTCTTAGTTACCTAATCTAACCGACTTTGTATCTCTTACCGATTCCGAGATCCCAATGGTGAGAGTCTAATTTGAAGCACCTGGTATTTAGGCTTTGTCTTCGCAGCTCTGTTAGGCACACATATTATATTTGCGAAGTACCTACAATTTTTTGTCAGACCAAATAGGTATTTTTATCCTTTGATATAAGTCTCAGACTCAACCCAAGCTTCACTACAAATCCTGCATGCTATTAACTGGTCCATATGTAGAATCCCCACATAAGATTTTCTTTTGAGAGCAGTAAATCCACTTTGGGATGAATAAAATCCATTAATTCCCCTTTAAATGTCTGGAAAGTCTGGAAAGCAAGAGCGTATTGATGCCCGAACGCGTATTCGCAAAAAAATCTCACAGAACAAGACCGAGGAAATCCAGATAGATTTTTCCAATTTCTAAACGCGATTGTACAAGATCGACGTGTATGTGTGGACGTATGAAAAACTTGTCGTATAATGTTTGCGAAGAGAGGATGAAGTTAAATCGTTTCGAAAGGCAGTGACTGGATTGATCGAATTGCTGGAGGGCAGCGGTGGATCCAGGGAGGGCGTGCTATGGTCCAGACCCCCCCACCGAAATTTTTGTGTTTGGACGTGTTTTCCAATTTTCAGACGATCTTCCTCGCTCCGCTATTCATTCTTTTGAATCGCCGATCCCCTCTTCACCCCCCCGAACGCGACGGATATCTTCCTGTACATGATTCATGAGCACCCCTCAGCAATTCTTTGAGTCACTACTTATTTGTATAACGGCAAAAATATGTTAATAACATATGGCGTTATAAAATCTTCCATATATCATTAGAAATGCTTACTATAAAATTGCGATTTATGCGAAGAACCGGTAACGTCGCATGCGGTGGTTATGTACAATCTGGCAACCATGTGGCATCCAGAAAAAATGGCGATTGACACTGACATAAATCAACCGTGTTGCCCTATGGATAGCAGGTGACTAAACCTTCTTCAGTATGTTTGTAATTTGGCCACTACCTCATTTCGCTGAATTTCCAAGGATCCAGGCTAGACAGATACCTATGTTTTGATTTTTTGCCTTATTGATTAGTTTTCAAACATTTAATGTGTAGGTATATATCACAGGTTCACTTAACACCTTTTCTCATAATTTTTCCTATTCCACTTTCAGAATCGGATATGATGATGGCATTCCCTAATCTTCTTTCCATGACCATCTCGCATGCCTTGTGGGCATATGACCATCGTTTCTGCCGCAGATACTAGTATTGTTAGAAGTCTATATTCTTACCTGCTATATTATTGACTTTTGATGCATCTGGATAGGCAAAAGTATATTTTTATGCTCTTCTGTGAATTCTAAAAATAATTGGTTTATATTTTGGTCTGCTTTGCTTATGTTAATGCTTATGTTGTCTAGTTATACTGACTGCATTTTTAAGTTTAATGCTCAATGTTTGCATGACCGCTAAATGAAACCACAGAATAAGTTTAGGTGCTATATTCTTTAGTTTGTTTCATATAGCTAGCTACTGATACAATTTCATTGAATTATTCTCATATTCATCCTCAAAACAAATACGTAAAAATGTCGTGTTATGTCGAAAAAGTGACTTACGGCTACAGAATTGATGACAGCGTTGCGTGGGAAGTTCAGAGTCAACCTACTTGACGCCATTTTTTTGCCTCGTCTTCCACACTTGTCCAGTCTTGTTTATCTCAAACAACGCTTCACTCCACTCAAATTGAAACTACAAAATATTTTATCTGTGCAATCCGTCTGTCCATTCATCGATAATCACATGAAAGAGGCATAGGCGCATTCCGCACGTGTTATCATGACAAAGCATTCAAAGAAGCGTGGCTTGAATGAGTCAATTCTCGCTGTGCTGCTGGAACCCACCAATTACGCCCCTCATATAAAGAAGCATCTGATTATGGAATCTAATTTCCTCGATATGCAGCATGCAGCACCCCTTTGACGCGGTGGCGTTCGGCTAGCTACCCCCGCGTCAAAACGTTGCTGCTACCTCTCCACACCCCACTATTTATAACCAGTCGCAGAGGCGGTTCGTGACATTGACTTAGGAGGCGCATAACTTATTTAGAAATGGTGTTCCGATGTTTCGTTGACTTGCTAATCATTTCAGGCTGGTACTGTTATTCCGACATATTTAACATCCATTCTTTCATATAGGAGCTCAAGTCGATGTGTAATTGAAGGAGATCCATCCAAAATTTATGTGATTCATGAGCGTACCGGTGCACAAGACTGTGTCCCCGATAGCACGAAATATTTATTCAATATATAGTGATATTTTTATCTTACTTATATATTTGTTTTCCTAAAAAAGTGTTTAATAAATATTTGTAATATAATATTTTAATTAAATATTTATTCAATATCTTTTAAATAATTTAAATACAGTATTTCTTTTATAATATTCATTAAATATCAATGGAAAATATTAAATCTTTAACATTTAGAAAATATTCATGTTCGGCTACGGCGCACATGGGCGTATGACTCCGAGCGATCAATGGCGTAATAGCAAGCCGGCCTGAGCCCACCCATTTTCCAGCATCCATTTTGACTGTAACTTTCACTATGATAGCGTGCTTCCTGTGTACCTCCAAGTGGTACATTATCTGATTGTTTTTTTGTGGAAAATGGAAAAGGGTAAGTTTTTCGATAATTACATAGCTTAATTTATCTGACTAGTAAACATTATTGTGCCAGTTGAGTTTAAAGGTATTCACAAGACCATAAGTAATTTTAGTCTTGAAGTGTAATAGTTATTTGGTATTGGTGGATTTATCTGAGAATGGATACGATAATTATATTCATAACATCACAATGAAAAGTTATTTAATCGCAACTTAATCAAGATACATCAAACATGCTTTTTTTAAAATACCCCAATTTTTATTATTATTTTTGTCATAGTAGAGGGCAGATCAGCTGTAACTACTTTAAAATTTTTAAGTTTATCAGTGACGTTCTAAAATTTTTACAGTCGAAAATACTATATTTTTGTCCCTTGAATTATAATATAAATTCACAAAATAGTTATGGCTAAATTAGCTCCCTTACTAAACTAAGTCACATTTCAACAAAATCAATAAGTGGTTTATTTTCAAAAACCTTTTCTTTAAAAGTTAGTCAAAGGATCAAGTTATGTCCATGGACATTTTTCATCAAGATATCTAAAATAACATACCAAAATTTTCTTAAAAATTGACCAAACCTCGAACTATCATAGGCAGAAAATGTGGCGCCCTTTTAGTTGCATTATAGAGCTGATTTTCAGTGACCCAGTTGAGCTACTCGGAGTAACTCAGCATGCTCAGCACCAAAATTGTTCCACTGCATTTTAGATTCCCATAAATACACTAGAAAGTAGCTTATGTATTCAATAATACTTCATAATTAGTAGGTTTTTTTTTCAAGATGCAGAAGAGGCTTCGAATGTTTTTTTAATCATACTTTTCTAGCAAATTAAACCATTAAGTCTAGAATGAATTTTCTTTATAAACCCAATATTTCTACAGATTTTGCTAAAATAACCAATGAAGAATTTATACACTGAAAATAGATATCTATCAGAAATGCTTGAAGATCCAAACATATTTATGAAAAATATTAGATAATTCATCAAAATATAAAATTGACATTTAAAAATCTTTTCTCATATATTTACTAAATATTTGGAAATAATATCGCAAAAATATATGAATTATACATACTACAAATATCTATAATGAATATTTTATAAATATTTGAGAAATATATTTATTAAATATTAAAGAATCCGTCGCTACAAATATTTAATAAATAATTAATAATATCGGGGGTAGTATTACTTCTAATAGCAAAAATTTCCAAAATAACCCGTGGTCAATTTTGATGCTTGACAGTGTCTTTTTGGAGCTCCGTTGAATATGTTACGGAATTGGAGGAAAAATTTACAAAGAACTTGGTTAAAGTGGCTTGTGTAGACAACGTAGGAAAACTACTGAAAGCTGAACTCTTGGGCGTCATTTTCATTCACCCTTGAGAACAGTTATTTGTTCCTCATTTTCTTTTTCTTTATACACAAGTCCGCATTTAAATTTTAATTCATTTATATCAACCGGTATATAGTCACTAGGACAAACAAAGCTAATCCTAAATTGAGAACATTAACTCATCTATAGATTT